CCATTTATTTCCACGGGGAAAACTCTAATCCCAATATGATGACAATATGATGTCTTCAAGAAATTCACACTTAATCGTTTAATAGGAAAACCACCCTCCAATCAACAACTGATGTACCAGGACACAGTGTGGCGGAATGCGTGGTAGATGTCTGGGTTCTGGGAGCATATTAATCCCCCGCTTTTCCAAGCCTGGGTGTCCTCCCTGTTTAAATCCCCCAGGCAGGTCCACTGCTTCTCATAAGCTCTAGATACACACCACTTCGAGTGGTCGAAAAAGGAAGAGAAGACTATGGGCCCAGGGAGCTTGATTCTTTTTATATTTAGGGTGTGCTCAGGAAGAGAGCAGTTTGAAGGCAGCTGGTGCTCCTTACGCTGCCAGGTTTCTGTTAAGAGGTCAGTTTTCAAGGCCTGAGCCACCCAACCTGTGTATATATCTGTGGCGAAAGAGAAATAGACAAACATGATGTTCACACAAATTATTTCTCAAAGGATAACCATCAGTATTTCAGTGATGGTCCTGTTAGATAACTTAGCTGCTTTGAAAATGTTTGCTACAGAATTTATTCAAATTAATAGATATATAACTAACTTTCTTTGTTATTTAATTCTTTATGCAACCACAATGTATGAAAACTAAATAATGAGTTTAACCATTAGCAAAATAACTAGACGATTTGTTTTTAAATTATGTAATATAAATGAATTACCTTTTGTTGTGTTATATGTAAAAATATGGATTAAGTAGTAAGCAGATATGGGATATTATGGTCACTTTAGTAATACGTGATGGATTCACAGACTTTAGAACTCCTCTTTGCAAAAACAGTAGAGGTATTTTCATGGAAAAGTGTCACTGTGGTTTAGCAACAGTCCTGAGGTCAACAGGTCCAGCCTTAACACTGGAACTACCAAAATGAATTAGTGGTCTATTCCAGTACTTTTGGGGGGAAATGAGTTTTGGAGTAATTGTTTCCTGATTTACGTTGCTTGAGAAAAGATTTGAACATCACTTTCCAGTAATAACAATGGTCTTACCATCAACCCAGAAGTGTGATTTTGCAAAACTTAGGAGAGTCTCTCCTTTGGCTGACATTAGTGTCTGCAGTTTCCTGTCAGGGGTCCTTGGAAGTTGGGAGCCTTTACATAGAAGGGCCAAACTGGACAGATCTGGCTGAAATATCGCAGGCAGGGAGCAATTGTACACACGGGGATTATAGTAGAGAAGTTGCTCAGCTGGAGAGAGTAGAGAGAATTGAGAGAGAACATATGGTACAACATCTTCATCAGGTACATGTGAAGCTCCTTTCGACCGTTGACCTTCTGCTTACCTATTAGCGGGAGCTGATGATATTTGTATGTGACACAGAATGCTGTCTGGCCATACATTTTACCAGACGAAGGCCAACTATATCCATGTTCCGGGGGCGGAGGGAAGTGAGGGACACTGTGGATCATCCAGAATCCCTGAACCGTGTCGAAGAGGAGCGCTCCTGCAGAGGGGGACACAACACGCACGTCTCACTGCATCGTACATGACGCTTGTTTATTTTACAGCCAGAGTGCAAGTGTGTTTAACCAGCATTGAAAGTCTATCTAATCAGAGATATATGCTCTTTGTCCTACTCCTCCCCCTGAGACCTGGACCAAACCGGACTGCGTAATCATGGGGTGAAGGAGTGAGCAACTGGGGCACAGCTAGACCTGGGGGGGCCGGGGTGTTCAGTATATTTTGCCAATTGCGACTATTATCTGGTAATCATCACTCGATTAATTTAAGACACATGCTAGGATCGACTGATCGACAGGTCGGGCAGCTATTCTCTATATTTCGTTTTTATTTTTTGAAAAGGGGGGGGCCACACGTTTCCCCGGGTCACCACTTATATCCGCCCCTGGTGAGCAGTAGTATGACATTAGACCTTGACAGCCATGGTAGTAATTTGAACAAGCAGCAGTACCTTTCGTGTGTCCATAATGATTGTCATATTTCAAAAATGGAGGGGCATCGTTATAAAGCATGTATGCAGATCTGTTGGTCTGAAATGAAAAAGAAAGATTTTAGCTGGAGCAGAGGTAAGTGATGAAGTCCTGAGTTCTTCATAAACAACCTCACCTTATATTGCTGCCCCTGGTACAGCTGTCTAAAGGTGTTCCCCAAAGCCCCCAGACTGTCATTGACCAGAAAGTTGCTGTACTGCCATGTCTTCACCGACGAATCCAGGTACATGTAATCAAGCCCACTTCCAGCAGTACCATTCTTGTACTTTGGAATCTTGTAAATGATGAACCTATTTTTCAAAGACAGATATTGAAAGGGGGTCATTATATGTCAGTTTTCTATATATTGAAATCAAATATTACATTTTTATTGTGGGGGTGGCGCAGTTGTTAGCACTGCTGCCTCACACTTCTGGGACAAGGGTTCGAGTCTCTGCTCTGGTTCGGTGTGTGTGGAGTTTGCATGTTCTCCTTGTATCATTGTGGGGTTTCCTCTGGGTACTCCCGTTTCCCCCCGCAGTCTAAAAACGTGCTGAGGCTAATTGGAATGACTAAATTGCCCATAGGTGTGAATGGTGCGTGTGAGTGTGCCCTGTGATGGGTTGGCACCCCATCCTGGGTTGTTTCCTGCTGCTTGCCCATAGGCTCTGGACCACCTCTGACTAGGGTAAGCGGTTACAGAAAATGGTTGGAAGAATGTCAGATTTGGGAATTCCCCAAAAAATTGAGAACCTATGTCAGGTGGGCAATCTTATCCACAAAGGGTCAATGTTTATGCTGGTTTTTGGGGTAACCTTTAGGTCAGCTGTTCAAACCCAGCTGTGAGGACTCTTCAGCCAATCAGTCCTCTAATCACTAATCTAAGTAGGGAGTTTCAGCAAAAACCCACATACACAGCATTTGGTTAAGGTTGCCCACCCCTGACCAATGCAATGACATCACATTCATTCTCTGAGGGGTAGAGAGTATATCCATTAAAATTTAACCTTGAAACTGTTGCCGAAATTTAAATTCATTGTAATGATAAATTTCTGTGTAATGTTAGAATTTAAATGATCACATACAGCTAAAGTAAATTCAGTGGAAGTTAAGCCTATTAAAACCAAAGTCTAACACTGAAGTGAAATTTACCAACCACACAAACAAATCTTAATAATAATAATAATGATAATAATAATAATAATAGATTTTAAAATATTTAAAATAAATCTCAAAGTGCCACAGAATGTCATCCTAAAAAAAAGTGAAAAAACACCTATTAAAACAACAATTTAAACAAGCAAGTAGATCAATAATTAAGAAACCTGTAGCCTGCACATCTTGCTGCTTATTTATTCTTTTACTGCCTACTTTCGCTAACTTGTACAAATGGCTAAATAACTAAATAGGCTAAATAATGTCCCAAATAAACTGCATAGTCCCTGTTGTACAATGTTGCACATTCACCTGGTTTAAATGACATTATCTTTAGCATAGTTTAAATAACTGTTGGCCTGCTATCCTTTCAAGATATCGCACATAAACATGTTTGAGGTCCTCCAGTCGTTATTTGTGCCAAGAGGATTTGCTCAATCTGCCTACCAGTCGACGGGATCCCCGGCCTCATTCCTACAGGAAAATTCAGCAACACATCCAGCGGCACTCAAGAAAACACAAACTAGAATGAGCCACATTGTAGGAATTATGACTAACGGCAAGCTACATTATACAGAAAAGTAATGGAGCTCTGAAAGTGAATTTGCATTAGAGAAAGGGAAGTTCCCGTCGCATGTTCGGGTCACTTGACTTCCTCTATTATGCCTCTTTGCAAATGTGATTTTTTTAAGATGCTGTACAGAAACAAAATTGGGGAAGTAGGGGTTTTTTATTGCAAATTGTTTTCTTTAAATATAGCAACACCACAAAACGTTAAAGTTTCTGAAGCAGTTTATGAATCCATGACCCTAAAATGCAGTGGATTTTTTTAATAGAAATTCCAATTAATGCCTATTGTGCTGTAAGGGAATAAAGGGTCTTATGTAAAAACTCCGATTCCTGTGGTCTTCCACCTGCACACTTCTGGGTTCTGGTTTTCCTGTTCAGCAATTTTTGCCCACATCTCAGGAACTGTACTTTAGATTGATTTGTGTTTCTGAATTTCCCTTTGGGTTCATGTTCTACGATAGACTGACGCCCTACGCAGGGTGTGCACGCTGCGCTGTGCCTGCAACTTCCTGGGAATATCGTGTAAGAGTGTCTTTGTACGGAATTCTTAATTTTCATCAGTGTTCCACAAAACTAGCGGCACCATTGAATCCAAAGGGTTCTGGGACGGACCCCAAGTGGGACTCTCCCTTTAAAGGCTCTTTTTGATGGTAACATGATGGTTTGCTCATATCAAAATCCTGACATGTTCTGAATATTTCCATGGCCCAGTTGGGGGAAAAAAATTGTCTTCACTGCTTGGTCATCTGTCTCTGCAGTCTGTGGAATGATTAAATATGACTCAAAAATAAAAAATTACATTGTAATTATAATTTAGTTTTTCTTTTTATTACAAAAGACATTTACCTAATTTAATTGTGCCTGTGGTTATGTGCCCCCTATAGTGGACTTCCATCCTGACCAATGTGTTCCCCAGCCTTTCCTGGCTCAGATCGGTGACCCTGACCAGGATAAACAGTTGCAAGCTGGACGGGTGGATAAAGTTATTTATTTTAGGACTTCTAATTGATTTTTTTCCTGTTTTGGTCTGTAGTTTTAGATTTCAATTAACAATAACGCTTAGTGTAAATGAGTTTGGTTTTTCCACAAATCACTGCAATGGCAGACCATGTAAGAAACATATGTTTATAAAGTAGTTATAAAAATGGCAACAAACAAGATGATTCAGCAAGCTGCCCCTTGTGGTTACTAATTTACACAGTACTGATGAACACACTATACTGTAGTCACCGCCCTCTTAACAAAATTCATGTACAATCTGTAGCTGTGGAGCCCATTCGGAAATAGAGACCGGAGCGTAAACTGAACATGGCCAATCAGGTAAAGAAAAAAATATTTTCCTTAGTTTAACTACCAGGAATGAGCATTGCTTTATTTTTGTTTCAGGCAACGTATTGCACCATTTAAAATTATGCAGAAAATTGACACTTTTCACAAAGGTCTTCATATCCACAAAATACAACGACCAACATGGAAAATAAATCAATAATGAAAAGCGGTAAATGCTGAGTATTCAATGTCGGATTTTTCCTTTTGTGATATGATTGCCTGAAGTGTCTGAAAGAGCATTTTATTTTCATCATTTTTAATCACATATTTGTTTATATTTGAATACATTTATGCAAAATGCATAGTTTGAAGTATGAATTATTGTACCACATTTTAGCATATTTCCATTACCTATCTAGATAAGGTAAAAAAGGAACATGTGAACACACTGCTAGTCAAAATGTATAATAATTATTTTGTTTTGTTAGTTACTGAAATTTTAGATCTATAAGGTAATGATAAAAATTCAAAACAAAGATTTTGCTTACATGGGCTACATCAGTTCAACTCACTATTCTCAGTCAATAATTTATATGTTAATTTGATCTTAAAATTAATTTTTAAGTTAAACAGTCTTATAATATTCATATCATTCAGTGATCTCCTGCATGAGTTATCTTTTGTAGGATGTGGAATTCGTGCGAACGGGATATGGAAAGAACCTCGTCAAGGTGCTGCATGTCAGGCGAGAAGGGACACAGCATCAAATCAAAGAGCTGAAGGCGAATGTTCAGCTTACCCTGAAGACACGCAAAGACTACGTGTTCGGAGACAACAGCGACATCATCCCTACTGACACCATAAAGAACACTGTTCATGCTCTTGCTAAGATCAAAGGAGTAAGTCTTTCTTAGTTATTCTGCTTCTTCTCTGTTTCATCTTCAGTCAAAGTTAAGACATGTGCCTTGCCAGGTTAAGACCATAGAAGAGTTCGCCATGGACATCTGCAGGCACTTCTTGACATCCTTCAACCACGTCACTCGGGCCAAAGTGGACATTGAAGAGATGCCGTGGAGAAAATTAGAGAAGGTACAGCCTTCATAAAATAGGCATGGTACGTTAAAAATAAAAATAACAAAAATACCTTCATGAAGTAAATGGCTGACTTTTTGTTCTGCAGAATGGTATTGAGCATGCCCACGCTTTCATCCTAAGTCCCGAGGCTTGGAGGTTCTGTGAGGTTGAGCAATATCTTAATGGTGAGTTTCTATTGCAATTCATTGCCTTTGCACTCAAGAATGAAAAATTATGAACTATTCAAAGCACTATACAAAGCTCATTATTTGCATTTCAGATGGGTTTAGTACAGGGGCATTGCTGGGATCACAAGACGTCCAGGGCTTAACTCAGAGATCTAATCTATCCAAGGGATCTCAAATTGAGATCATAGCTGTTAAAACATCTGAGCTCAACAAATCAATCAAGGCTCGTTCATATTCAGTCAAGGCTTCAGCCCCAAATGCCCCACGCTCATGATGTGCCTGGTTTTAGTGCAAAATGAAGTAATACTATCTAGTCATTCTTGACAGGTGAGCAGAAGCCTTGACCTTTCAAAGATGTTTTCTTAGAAATGAAAATGCTGCAAATGCACTCAATAGCTCTGCCTTCCATGTGCAGCTTAGTAAACGTGCATATCATAAATCCTCATTTGTAAAGAGAACAGGCATTATATGTAATCAAGTTCTTTTTTCATTTTCATAGGCTATTTTATTGCTGTAAAAAAATACAATCTGAATATTTTACTATAATTTCAGTCGAATATGACCTGCTATATTTTAACGACTTATTGGCTTAAACCAGTGGCCGCTGTTGACTAAAAAACCGAGAAGGAAAGAGGATAATCAACCCATTGGGTCATGTTACTATACAGGCTGCCTACTTTTCCATATTTTCTTGTGGTCAAAAAATAGGTTACAGAGTATTTTCCCACAGCCAATTTATTCAAGCATCAAGTTTCCGATAATGATTAAATATTAAAATACTTATCCAGTGTACTGCTGTTGTCAGGGGATAGGGGGTGCTGTTGACACCGTTAGCTCCCTCAGTCGCACTGGCACATCATTTTATGTGTTTTAGCCAATATTGGACATTTTGAGGTAGTTCAGCTGTTACCTCCCCTGGTCCTCGGTACTTCATTTGGCCTCTAGGTGTCACTGTTGACAATATTGGAAACATTTTATAATATGACAAGCATGAAGAGGGGATAATTATATTTTAGCAATATCATAATATGGGGGTAAAGGGGGGGAGACTGAGTCCCTACTCCATTTGCATGAATGACTGAAAGTGCCCCCCCCCCCCACCACCACCACTACCAACACCTGCCCCCTAACAACTGACCACCAGCTTCCCCTCAAAAAGTCAGCCCTGGTAACCAGCTATTTCAAAGTTACTAGTTAATGTAATTTAATCTCAAACACAAAGGAGGTACATTTTTCTCTACCCCCAAGGACCAGCCTCGTTTTGTTTACACTATCAGTGAATTTATGTATTTTAAGCCCTAGTTTGTACTAGAATCTACTTTTTGGGATTCTACTTCATTTATTAATTTATTGTATGCATGCATTTAATTATTAATTATTTTGTGCTTATTTTAGTTTCTTGTGTTTTTCTTTTTTTCTTCTTTTAAAATGTCTTTAAAGCACTTTGTAAACCTTGTAGTTAAAACAGTGCTACATAAATTAAGACTGATTGATTGATTAGTTGACTGACTGATTGACACTTAGATGGACATAATACTTCTCTAATGCTTAACTGTAAGACTCTGAAATGCTTTTTATTGGCAAAATTGTGTGATTTCTGCTCTCCAGAGACCCCAGTGATTCACAGTGGCATAAAGGACATGACTGTGCTGAAAACGACGCAGTCTGGCTTCGAGGGTTTTCTGAAGGACAGGTTCACCACTCTACCCGAAGCTAAGGACAGGTTCTTCTGCACCAGTGTGTATGCAAGGTGGCGATATAACACACACACTAATGTCTCCTTTGACGCTGCGTGGTAAGTGACTGCTTCAGAGTGTCAACGTAAAAATGTACTTATGGTTTTAGGTACTTCACAAAGAAATCAGAAGAAAAGATCCGGATCATAATAACGTAGAGCCAGAGGTTTTAGTTAAACCATAGTCTGTGAAATTATTTCTGGATATATTAGCCTATATTTTGACCAAGGCATAAAAGGCTACTAGTTTTATTGCTAAAAGATTTAGTTTTTTTTTTTTAATAGTAAATGATGATAATCATATTTGCAAAAAACACAGGTAGGTGGAGAAATTGGGCTCATGAGCTAAAAATCGTAGCTATATTTCAGCGTTTAGCATTGAACGTCTTTTTTGAATTGACTTATAAAAACCTATTTGAAGTTCAAAAATGTGAAAAAAAACTGCATTTCTCTTGCACAGGAAAACTGTAAAAGATATTATTATCGAGAAGTTTGCTGGCCCATATGACCGCGGTGAATACTCTCCATCGGTCCAGAAGACTATTTATGACACACAACTTCTCGTTCTTAGCCGAGTGCCACAGGTGGGTCCATACAAGCAGGAATGAGTAGGATAATGCATGCCGAACGATCATGGGGTGACACCTTTCATTACCCAGCAGAGCATGTGAGCGGAGTGGAGAGGAGAGGTGAGAATTTCAGCTCCTCGCTCACTAGGCTGTTGGCTCCGCCCGCTCCTCCGCTCTAATTCGCACTAAGCCGCTCCGCTCAACACCGCTCCGCTCAACACCGCTCCTCACTCCACTAAAATTTCCTCCCGCTCCAGTCAAATCGCTCCCCGCTCGCTCAAATTTAAAAGAGGGACAAATAATCTGCATGCCTAACAAATGTCACCTTAAACCGAAGCCTTATATCATAAAATATGAGCAACGGCAACATTGCCAGTCAGAACAGAAAATATTTATTTCTAAGCAACATGTAGGCAATAACGGACAGGTTTGGCAATGGCATTCCACACAAAAATAGGCTTAAAAATAAAGGAATCAGTGGGCTTAATAGCCTAAAGAATACACAGGCACGTTTTAAATTCCTCAATTTTTTTCTGTTGATGCTGCGCTGCTGCGTCTCTCTATAAAATAAAATTTCAGACAGCGTTACGTGAAATTTAAAAAATCCTATTAGACCTACTTTGAATGACAAAACTACCAATATTTACTTTATAGGCTTTTATACTTTAATTTACTTTATAGATTTGATATGCTACAACCATATAAAACTTGCTCGCGTTTTGCTCTGGCTTCCGCCTGTTCGCGTAGCACACACTCATGTTTCTGAGAAAAGTGATTCCAAAGTGAATCTTTACTCACTGAAACAGTTTCACCACATTGTTGTTCTTGCTCTACATTCTTGTCATCTATACGTTTGGTAAGAATAGTGCACTTGTATGATTTATCAGTTTCCTTTGTGAAATACTTTGCGAATTCCATCTCGTTCCAATTTGTGTAACAGTCTTGATAATTGTACAGATGAATTCTGGGTAGATTTGGGCACGCCATAGAATCTTAGTGTGAGCGGTATCGGAGCGAAATTGGAGCGAGACAGAGCGACCGCTCCAGCCTTAAAAAACCGCTCCGCGCTTTGACCAAATTCTGCCCGCTCCGCTCCTCGCTCACATGCTCTGTAACCCAATATTCTTCTGTTGACCCTTGACCTTTACATACACACATTTATCAGGTCACATTTATTCTTATGATATAGAAAAGGAGTGCCATGCATTAATCTTTTTCATAGGGAGTTTATTATTTATTGTGCTTTTAGATGAACAATGTTTTATATTCGCTACATTAGATGAAGTCATAAACCAGCACTGCATAATGTTAAATTTTTGGATGTTATTCTGTGGGATATTTAGATGCTACCCTTACTGCCCTTTGCTTTAGAACCCAAAACACATGTTAAATGTGTTAAATATTGTTTCGTTTGTAGGTGGAGGAGATTGAGATAGTCATGCCAAATCAGCATTACTTCACCATAGACATGACAAAACTGGGACTTCCCAACAAAGATGAGGTGGGTATTTGACATTTTGGATTGATTGTCACATTCCCCATGATTTCTGATAAGTAGAATTGTTTGCTGTATTTTCTGACCCCACTAGATGGTGCTGTCTGTTCATAAAAGGGTTCAAAGAATGCCCCAAAGCAAACCAAGAGCACCATCTAGTGGGGTCAAAAATTACAGCAAATGGTTCATGAAGCCTCATTTGCTCATCACTACTATTTGGCAAAGATTTTCTTGTTGATTCATTTTGTTATAAATCTCTATATACTTCAAATAAGAAAGCAATAATAAATTCACAGTCACTAATAAATTCACCCAAGTTTGTGGTTATAGTTGTCATTCATACTACAGTTCTGTAAACATATTCCTTACAGTTATCAAAGGTCACCACAAATCATGCTGAATAAATGATTATGCAATATATAGAAATGTTCCACTTGAATACTAAGGGACCCCTCAGAAAAAGGGGTCCATTGACAGTATGTCTCCTGTCAGGTCCTTCTACCACTTGATAATCCCTCTGGGAACATCACCGGAACCGTGAGGCGAAAAGCACGAGCTAAACTGTAGAGGGCGCTGCCAAGGTGCAAAACAAGTGGAGCCACGGGCAAAGACAGAGCAAATAAATGATTATGCACTTATAATTATCAAACTCAGGAATGGACAATGAGCCTATAGGATGAGTTAAATGCTGTGTCCTTTCAAATATAAATAATTCACATTTAAATAATGCTTTTAAATGGATAAATGTGTTGGAATCATTTGCTATGCTCATATATAATTATAATAATATGTGTCATTATAATTGTGGATATTGCTCTGTTAATTAAACTTTATTGCAACAAATTAGAGTGTGGGCTTAACAAAAAAGAAAAAAATGTATGTGTTTAAATGCAGGTGGTCATCTTTTCTTTTGGTTACTGGACTGATCCAACTAACATTTAAAGGTCTGATACCCCCTGAATTCACCCAAACATCTCTGGGATAATTTTATGCATGAATTATATGTTTGCAATAAAACACACCAGAAAAGTCACAACTATCAACCATTAATCAGATATAGTAAACAAAAATGTAAACACCTATGAAATTTAATATGGAATCGAATAAATTAATGTTATCGGTAATTAACAGATTAGTTTCATATATCCAAAAAACAATACACAATAACTACCAAATCAACACGTTCGCTGAAAGAACATTATTCTACAAAGCAAATGTGGAGCCAACTAAATTCTGAACTATCAAAACGCACCCATATTGTGACCTAAGTGGCTTCAGTCAGATTCTCAAATATTTAGCAATATTCTTTACATTTTGCAGATTGATATACCCATAGAATCAACAGTCCTTGCATAATATATTTCGATAAACATTTACTGTGGAACTAGAGCAGCTATATAGAGAATATTCTTCTGCCTCATACAAAACACTTTGGTGGGAGAACTATACTTGGTACAAAATAGCATCTATTTTGAGAAGGGAAAGGACATAACCACTGTGGAGTTAGGTGGCCTCAAATTAGAATTAAAGACAACAAACGGGGGGAGGGGGGAGGGGGGAGGGAGGGTAACCCATGAATAATGTTTCATTGTCAATGACCAGTAAGAACAACATGCCTGTAAGTCATAGTTAAATGTTTTATATTTATGAAATGCTAGTTTTTGTTTTAAACATTTTTGCAATTACTAATATAGATCAATATCCATAATCAATAGATTATAAATTGTTATGGATATGTATATTCACACACACCATATTTAAATATTATAATCTGAATAATTGAAAAGAATGCATTATTTACAAAAATAGGAGGTTTAAGCCTCCAATATGAACGTTCAGTGATTAAATGCACAAGTTATTACAGAACTCACTATACATTTTCCATTTTGTTTAATTAAAATGATCTCACTTGGTGGTCTGAAGAGATATACAAAGGAAATTATCTGAGACCAAAACAACTGAAAAAACAATGTAGGAATATGATATCTTCATTCAGTCTAGGTGAGAATGTAGATCAAGAAAGAATAATGACAAATACAATCTTTCCTTGCGCCGGCATCTTGAACCCGTATCTGCCCCCAGATTAAGCCAGCCTATTCTTGTAAGGGGAAAAAAGCAGTGAACTGTGCTTTTGAAAAGAAATTTCGCAGGCCAGACATTATCATCCTGCATCCTTCCTGTGCGACTGACTTCTTCAGCAGAGGTTTGGTCATAGTGCACTATGTTTCAGGTGCTGATTCTGGAGGGGCTTTACGTGATACTCATAGATCTTCAGAGCCGGACCCAACTTTATCGTTAATCCAGTTAGGACGTCATTCCGTGTCATCAGTAGCAAAGATCTCCCATCAATCTCCTAGAAGAAAACAATTTTAGGTATTTGTTTGTTTTGGTATTTTTTTGGGGGGGTGCTATTGTGCTGGGAGTTTTCATCCTCAGTGCTTCTTTCCCACCCCCCCACCTGGGATCAATGAAGTTCTATCTTTTCATCAGTCCAACCAAATGTTACAGTTGTTACAAAGAGAGGGAGCACCCTTAGTTTGTTGATTAATTCTTTCATTCCTCTACAGTGCCATGACTGATAAACAGCCACATAAACCATGAATTTAGTAATTATTACACTTTAAGTTCCTTTTTATGATATTAAGATTTTTGTTGAAAATGTAATTATTTTCAAAATGTACATGCCAGATGCATAAATTCAATTAAAATACTTAACTGGAAAAGCAAAAGACAGGAGGTTTTCTAATACAGTTATTTGGGAATCTGTAGAGAAGCAGATAAACTAAATATGCTCTACTGTACCTGATCGTGGAACGCACTTGCTTGTTCCTCAAAACCAGCCATTCGGAAATAATTAACGACATCCGCTACGGCCCACTGGGCAGGATCAGGGGGCTGGCCGTTCTCCATGGGGCTGTGGGCAAGGAAAGGGAGTAGAGACACACCTCTCCACCTCTCCTTTTCTATCACACAACTTTATGGGTTCTTTCGCTCTCATTTCGCAATGTAACGACCCTCTCTTTCAGCAATATATTACACGAGCCATAAAACATGACCGCTGTTTTTCTGCAGGAGCAGATTCAATCGGAATGAGTCTGTGCTTAATGACAATGACAAACGAGAAGATGCCAATGCAGAGACAGCACATGTTAGAGGACACTTGAAGGATGTCACAACTACACGGAAATACCTCCAACTTTTACCCCTCAATTTACATACAACAATTATCTTCACGCCATTGATATTGTCCCAAACACTTTTATTTATAAAGTTAATAATAAAAATGGCAGTTCGGTCACTTACCTTTCAGTGTCTATAGAACCATTATCCTTTTTTTCCATATCAGCTATGAAAAAAGGACAGATATGATCATTTTCTTTGACCATGTTTACATGTCGTTACACTCTTGTTATATCCATATGTACAATAACGCCCCACTAAATGTCTATTCCAATGAGCACTGTTAGATCAACACTGCCACTTTATTGCATGCCTAATACAATGCAATGGAAAACAATATGTTCCTATTAACAGTAAAATAAGGTCAATGCTGTACATATCACATAATTAGTTTGTGTGATTGCTTGTGGCTGTTCTTCCAACCACCCTCCTAGGTGACACAGCTATTTCCCAAGTGGCGACAATGTCCACTCTCTGGCACTAGAGGGGGCAGGAAGGCTCCCTTTTTCCACGTGACCTCAGTGAGTGTCCACATGGCAATGTGTTGCCCTTTATGGCTCTGGTCTCTCCATCCAGGCTGCTCCTGCTGGTTCATACCACTGAGCTGCTGTGCTCCACAGGCCTTGCTGGTAGACTCTGCTATTCTCTGGTCTAACTAGACACCTTTATTTATTTCTCAGATACTTTTATCCAAAGAGATGTGCAACTGAGAACGCTAGGTCAACCAGATCCAAGGGCAACTGGGGAGTTAAGAGCCGAGCTCAAGGGCCAAATGGTGAAATCACTCTGCCGACCCTGAGATCTGAACAAGTGACCTTCCTATTGCAGGCACACAGTCTACCCTGCTGAGCCACATACTGCCCTCATACACCTGCTCTTTCTCTCCTGTCTGTAGCACTCAATAAGCATCCTTTTCGTACCCATTCTCATATCCCCTCAAGTGCCTCATCCATCTGCTCATGCAGATAGGGCCAAACAAAGAATTTGCATATTCTATAACTTGAACTAGAGCAAAACACAGATTCTAAATTAGAACAACAGGAATTTACACAAGTTTTCACAAAAAAAGCTAAGAAATACTTTATTTAGTACCAATAACATTACAGTGATAACATTTTGCTGCAGAAGAATGAGAAAAAGATAACTGAAACATGATTCAGATTATGGCCCAGTTTTTTTGCTTTATGAGTTATGTATAAATGACCACTAGAGAAATACTACCCGACATTCCAATTAATGCGTTAAAAATAAATTTTTACTATTCACAGCAATAAAAGGCTGAGACATGTCAAAATAATCATGCTCAAAAAATCTGTAACATTTTCTTGAGAACGGGAATTAGTGGGAACAGAAACAAACTCAAGGGGAAAAAGCCCTTCTAGTTATAAACATGTTTTTAACCAAATATTGTTCAATGTGGTTCAAATTAATAAAGTATGATGCAGGAAGACATAAAACTCAACAATTATGTTCCACCCATCAAAATGTGTCAGCTCCCAAACATTTTCTGTGCAAGAAAAAACACATTATTATTATTACTACTATTATTATTAAATAAATGTCTTACAAATTGTACCTGAAGATGATTTTTCATATGCATTCAGTCCTTCATCTGCACTTCTTGTTTTGCTTTAACCTCACAACCACCAATCATTTTTGGACAGAAGTTCAGGTCCATCCTTAAAGACAATTAACATATATGAATGCTGCATTAGTACAAGTTTATAACTTACATATACTCTACTGAATCTGTATATCACATACTGCTCTCAACATCACATTAATAAGCAGATGAAAGGTCAAGTGTTCAAAATGGAATCAATGTGTTTTAAAGATTTCCATCTATCCCAGGAAACACAGGACATTGGCTGTGGACTCCACAAAAACATGCTATTCAGTGGAAACATTAGCTTAACGTTAACTGCACCTTAAGTACACATCCCAATGAAAAATTATGTAAACAAAAATGTCCCAACCAGACTGAATGCCAAAAGGCTCCAGGCCTCCCAAGATCATAACCAGGAGAAGGAGTTGGAAGATGGATGGAAGGAACACACATCATGCACGACATTAAAAAATGACACATATTTGTTATTTTATCCAAGGGCATCATTTAAATTATCATGCTGTACACAAAACAGTGCAAACACAATGTATTCATATGCAACATCAATTAAACATAAACATAAACACAAATGGAATATTTTGCAAAAATTAAATTCAATACATTCAAATAATTTGCCTATAATAATGAAACTGAACACAAAATAATATACTATAGAAATACTTACAGCTCAGTGAGACAGCAAAGTAACACTAATGTGCAATAGAAAAAGAAACAGTGTGAAGCACCATAGAAAGGTTGGTTATGCAGAACAAGTCAGTTTAGGTGCTTCCCTCTGTAAATTAATCCAGAAGTGGTGGAACGGTATCTGTAGATGAAGAATTGATTAACGCACATTCTAAGATTTTTTATAATAATGTGCTAAATGGATTTCTGCTGACTTTAAAAGCTCGACACGGCAGCAATTCAAAGGCGATACACGGTGTCCACATCCGCCAACATACAAAATGGGTTCAGTTTCAAAGAGTGTCCATCTGAGTACACAGGCAACATAACTTACCTGTCTGCTCTGCAAATTCTCCACAAGCTGCATATGGCTTCACGCGTCTCAATAACCGTCATAATATTAATAACACCAAATATGTCACTAAGAATTTAAACTTTTTACTAGTCAAATGATGATACTGTAATGTCAAGCGATAACATATGCAATAAAACAACATGATTAGCCACAATAGTTATCCAAAACGATACTTAAAGTTAAGAAAATAGCTAGGCAGCTGACAAAATATCCGATTTGGCAGATAATGTTGCACAATTTAATACGGACTAAAAAAAATTAAGCATAGTTTTTATTTTACACATATCAAAAATATTTGGGAATTTATTATATTTATATGTTTCTACATAAGCAAACATTAATAAAGCCACTTAAAATGATGTTTCTCATCTGTTCTGCCGAATAATCCTGAAGCATAGCTAGTCTTGTTTATAAACGTGAACTAAAGATATTTACGCCAGTCCGCCAGCTACCGTTTCAATAGGAAGCTAGCTAACAAACTACAGCAATACCTTGATTGACATTTAGTTTGTCAGCCTTTTCATTGGTATTTTTGTTCTGTTTTTGCTATATTTTTAAGGATAAAGCAAAAGCGAACTCACAGTTTAACGTCTAATTACCTACTTATATATGTCCCTACGTACACCAAAATACTAGTACTTACGTTTATCTTGTTAGCTAGTGTAAATTCTGCTAATAGCTTCCTCTGAGAACTACACTCACGTGCAGAGTTCGCAATAAAATCAGCCGTTGTATCCAATCGCTTTCAAATCTGCACGCAAAGTCATCTGGGGATCGTAGTCCTGCCTGCGTATCTAAATCACAACCGAGAAAATGCGGATCGCTGAAAAATAAACACAACGCGTCTGAAACACTCAGCCCAATACACATTAAAAAGTTCCAAAAATGTTCATTTGGATTGGTTATTTCAGTCACAAAACTTAATAACAGCGATATCGCTACCAAATGGAGTATATGTTTGGATCATTACTATTGACACAAAGATTATAATACCCTTATGCAATATTTAAACCATAAATAACTTTGGTTTTCTATATCCAAAAAGAGAATATGAAAACTGAACGCAGTGGAATAGCAAATGCTGAAATAATACAAACGGGGGAGAGCGGGCTTACAATAATTATGGCTTCTTCACTTGGAATGTGTGGAGTGTTTATGTTTTGTCATTAATGTCGCATAACAAATATGCTTGCTTTATAAACATTAACTTTCCTTGAAAATAATTAAGCTTCCAGTATATGATGTTGTTCCAACATACCTCTCTTAGATTTAAAAAGGTTCTTCCAAATTTATCCAGCATTGTCTACTATGACTGTCAACAGGAATGTAACTGGAATTCTTACTTTCTGTTAGATCCTTTCGCATTTATTTATGCTGATTTTCATTCCCCAAGTGTCTACCCACTTCAAAGTCTGGTCTTAATATAAATAATGTTCTATTGTACTGAGTTTTCAAAGACCTTCAGAAGGATCGCATGCATTTTTACACGTTCAAAGAAACTCTTACTCGACTAATATTTTACAAGTGCTCGTTTACTGTGTACTAAATTGCAGCATAGTTTTACCTGTAGTAGAAGTGAAGTTAACTGGTCTAGTTGACAAGATTGATTCTATTCCTCTTTGTCTACTGGAGTAAGGACTATATCCCAACCACAATTTACATATTTGTGACGACTTCTAGAAGTATCTCAATAACTTTTTCCTTCACAAAACAGCTGAGAAAAAAAACACATATAAAATACATATATTTCATATTGGGCTTCAAATTTACTTAACTTTTTAAAGATCACATTCATCAGATATACTAGCATATTCTGTACATTGTATACAGTACACATTTTTTCTTGGGTGTTGGGCTGATGGGCCACTAGAGGGCAGCTTTCCATGAACCATTGTAGAATATAAATATTCCTTGATTATCACATATAAAATTTAATAATCTTTATATAACCAAAACAAACCATTTTCTACACCAAAATCATTTTTGGTTTGGTTTATGTAACAACGGGCATTTAAAAATCGTCATTTTAACGTCATGTGAATATGTTATGTAAAAACATTACATATGTGAATCATTTCAGACTGAGAGCACCTATAATTCTACCACAAGAATTCTGCAATTATTAAAATAGATCATTAATGACATCTTGTTCATAGGCAACATTACCAGAGAATTAATTGCATACAGCTGGAAACCACCATGTCCCTTAGGTTAAATTAGTAATTAAAAAAGAAAAAGTCAACACATTTTAACAAAGAACTTTCTTATTTTTTAATGACAAGTAGATCTTTCATTACACAGAATCTGCTACGGCAAAACATACATCTCTTGCAAAGTCAAAAGGGTGGATGAAATATGTCGTGTCAGTGTCAGCCTTGCAATAAAACCAAGTCCAATAAAAATCTATAGCAGGGCTCGCACTAACAAAACTAACAAATATAAATAACGAGTACTATTTTTCAAATTTATACATATTCATTTTGTCTAAGGATAGTCTTATTATTCAGGACAAAATGTCACCAGTTACGCCCAACCAACACACACACACAAGGATATGATGGCTACATCCTAAAGTTTTTAATGAGATAATAGGAAGTCTTCCAAAATGTGGAGAACTATGCCATTTTAAATATTTTAAAATTACACTTATTAGACAGTTCCCTAATATGTATATAAATACAAACAACAGTTCAGTGCTGAAATGAACAAAGACAATACATGTGATCAGAGATGCCGATCATGTGTGTTGCTTCGGTATGTGGAAGTGATTGTAATCTGGGGTACGATGTCTTAAAGTAGAGCCGTTTAATATACAAACCTACCAACTGTCGCAAGATTTTTTTCCTCAAAAAGACAGAAGGAAATCTCAAACGTGAAAATATGGCAATTGAAATATCCCTTGAGACTCATAACAGAGTGAATTTGTTAACATACATGTACACATGCTCAGTCCAACTATACTCTACCAAATACCTACGAATAAACACCTTCGCTTTCAATTGTCTCTAAAGAGATTTTCTATTTACAGCTGAACATACCCAATATACAATAATACAAATGTACAATTCAGCGGGAGAGGGCTCAGAAATTTTCTGATGCACAAAATCTAAAAATCTTAAAAATCATATTTCATCAAAATTAGATGACCCCAAAAAGAAGTACAACTTATAAAGATGCCAAAGAGTCAAGATAATTTTGAGTTAGAACTGTATTTATATTAAACGTACTAAAAAAAAAAAACAAACATATAAAAGGCCAGAAGATGGGGCTGAATTTAACTGAAGAAATGTCCATTCTTCAGTTCAAATTAACAAGTGCAATAAGTGCTGTATAAAAAGGGTTCATTGTGTGTATTTTAATTAGTTTCACATTTCCTTTTCTGCAAAACACCACTCTATTAAAAAAAAAAGGGGGGGAAGAATGACATTTAAGACAGTGAGGAAAAAAGTGCAGCCTTCGTGTCAGAGCACTAGGGGGTGTCTGATTGGATGTGTCGGTGTATGAGAGTCCTAACTGCACTTATAGACCACTGACCCTGTGAAATGGAGGTCCTGTGATGAGATGTCAGTTCCACCCTGTCTAAGAAGTGCAAAAAAGCCCGAGCCCTGATAGAATCCCAGGTCTGACATTAAAACTCGGAAAAGTCCTTTGCACATTTTTCTGTGATGGACACGCGGATGTCCTCCTCTTCATAGTCATCGAAGTTGCTTGTATCTCCTGGGCCTCTGCACTTTGGTATGAAAGGAGCCTCTACCTGCAGGAACAATTATTTATGTTTTATTTGATCAACAACAACAAAAAAAAAAAACTCTCCTTGAAATTTATAGCAAATGAAAGATTTTTAAATACAACATTCAGCACAATATATAAAACTCAAAAGAATTTTTTTCAGTTTGTTTAATGACACATTATTGTCCGAAATTTTTGGTCAAAACCTTTAGTATCACTGTCAGATAAAATGGAACGTTTAATCACTGATTTAATGACTTTCTGAATTAAAAACTAAATTGCATTTAAAATGTTTTGTGAATGTACTTTGTAGGTTTAAGGTGAACTTAACTGAAAATGTAAGAGAAGTAACAATTTTACTTTAGTTGAACATAATGGAGAAAATGATGGAAAAATACATCCATAAATCATACCTTTCTTTCATAGATGGCGATCCAGTCTGTTGTGGCAAACCACTTATGATTTTTAATGTCATTGACGCCATTTTTCAGATTGCCAAATCGTTTGGTCAAGTCCACCTGAAGCAAATTCCTCAAGAGGTCTTTCAGATCTGAGCTAAAGTGAGAAGGAAATCGTACCTAAAAAATTAAGGAAAGAAAAAACTCATATATTTGGATGTCCTTAATCCTGGTGATGGATAGCCGCATCAGAGCAAAATACAACAAACAAGTATAACAGAACCACTGGCATTCTGGTAGTGTTAATCAACAGTACGTAGACACAGTGATATTAATGAGGAAGTTCAATGGGTGTATTTCAGGAAGTAAAAGATAAAAGTGAGTGTGAGATGTGACTTGGTCTATATTTAGGGGAAAAGATCTAGTGCTGCAATCATAAACTGCTGCAGGTCTGTCACTGCATTGCTCAGATGGAGCAACTAGTCCTAGTTCAGCCAGCAGATGGCGCTCAGCCAAGCACTGGGCCTGTGCCGAGGGGCCTAGTGAAATCCGTGTATAACCTGTACTCTCTCATTCTCATGCAACTGTGACCTGATGTGACAAAACTGTCGTTCACACAACGAGATTCAACTGTATGTAATTCATAAATCACCAGCAGAGTGAGGCAGCAGGGAAACTGAGACATCTCTTCCTACCTTTCCAGCCACAATTTTTTCATATATCTGGATGGGCTGTTCTGCAAAGAATGGAGGGTAGCTGGCTGCCATTTCATAGATGAGAACTCCCAGAGCCCACCAGTCCACTGCTTTGTTGTAGCCCTAATCGGATGGACAATAAAAATTATTAGGGAAGTTAAAAAGATCAGGGACAAATTCACAATTGGATTTACAGGCTACGAATCACAGAGACAGCATGGGCATTTTATCATGTACTAAAATCGGAGCTTAAATCATACTGTATTTATCAAGATGTGACCATTATATGAACTTTTTCAGCCTGGAAAAAGCTAGAATTCTATTTTCCTTTATAGGAAAAAATGGTTAGAACAAATAAAGGTATGAAGTATGGATATAGAGTAACAGAACAGATACAGACAGGCTACTTAGTAACAAAGAGTGTTCAAGTAGACATTTTGAGATGAGATATAAACTTGCATACCTTGCTGAGGATGATCTCGGGGGCAAGATACTCAGGTGTCCCACACAGTGTCCACGTCCTGCCTTTTACTCTTTTGGCAAACCCAAAGTCCGTGACCTGAAAATCAGGGAACATGTTATTGGATAGTATACTTTCACATATCAAACTACAAACATCTTATTAAATATGCAAAATGTGAACGCTAATGCTTCTAAGTGCATGTTTTAGTTACATTCAAAGCTTAAAAATAAAGTTGAATACCTGAATATACCCATGTTGATCGATAAGAAGATTTTCTGGTTTTAAATCTCTGTAGATAAGGTCTAATGAATGGAGGTACTCAAATGTCAAAACAATCTGAGCTGCATAAAATCTTGCATGTGGTTCACTGTGGGTCAGAAAAAAAGAGGCTATTGCACATTATGAAAGAAAACTGGAATGAAACACACACACACACACACACACACGCACACACACACACACACACACTTATATTCAAATGTTCGTGGGCACTGTCCATTCATTTCTATGAAACCCCAATTCCAACAATGACAACGTTAACCCCTATTCAGCCCTAACCTTAAGTAACCAAACAAAATACAAAACTTTTGACGTTTTTTGTTGCAGTCTCAGATTTTTACAAAATTGAGTTTCCCCTTGTGGGGACCTAACAAATGGTCCCCACAATGTAATATTTACCTGAACCACATGCACATACACCAGTGCACTCGTCATAATTTTTCTTTTAGCTTTTAAGAACTGCTAGCAGAATTGGGACTATTCTTTGGTAGGTTAACTGAGATGTGATCAAAGTGTAGAGTACTTGCAGCTGAAAATGCTAAATGGCAAATGGACGTGGTCATGACATGTAGACATTACTGCATGATTCAGAAAACATGATCGTGAAGCCATGAAGCAACATTCTCGCTCACCTGAACCTTCCAATTCGCCTAAGATGGGAAAACATTTCCCCGCCTGGCACATACTCCATTACCATGTACACGTTGGAATTGTCCTACAATTAGAAAGGAAATTTCAAAGGATTATAAACTAAGAACCACATTTTATTAATCGGAGCATATTTAACTTAGATTTTTCAGTTTCAAAACGAAGTCTGATCATATTAGTTTGACAACATTTCTTTTTTTCCCAATAACTTTACCATAGGGCATGATAAATACTAACATACAGATAAATTATATTTGTATATGATCATTCTAGGGTAAATAACTATAATTGAATAATGCACAGTAATTGTCCTTTGCAGTAGGTATTCCTCGGGTTACGTTGGGCAAAATTTTCTCGGACCGGTAAAACCAGAGGCTGTGGTGCCGTCATTAAATAACTTCGGCCATTTGCATTTTTGTCAGCTGCGATCGGAATATGCGAATTTTAGGGGATGTAAAAAAAAAAAAAAAAAAATTGCATTTTTGTCAGCTGCGATCGGAATATGCGAATTTTAGGGGATGTAAAAAAAAAAAAAAAAGGCGTGGCTTAAAAATGTATTTTTTGTTTTTGGAAGTTAACCAACCCGTTGGCCAAACCCCCAGCATTGTGTGGCCTGGTAGAATAATGGTCGTTGACCAGTGGATAGACCAGGGGTTGGCGAAGTCATGCTCCAGGTTTACCTTGAAGGCGTACTCCAGACGGACGAGAAACGGAAAGCACACCGCCTGCAGGATTCTCTTCTCATTGAGCGTGTGTTCTACCTGCTTCAGCTTCACCACCTTCCAAACACCCGTGGAAAAAAGGAAGGTCTGAGTTGTGAGGTGGAGCTCAGTCAGTCAGTTTAGGGTTTCCCCCGCAACACAGGCTGTAACTCAGCTGTCCTGAATTCACTCCTATCTAGTAAAGCTTCCCCATACAGACAGAATGATTACACCACTCTATATAAACACATCTGTAAAAGATGGCTGGAAGAACTAAATATACTGTCCATCCAGCTGCTTATTTTCAATAGTGTTGGGGGGGGGGGCTGTAGAGTTTCAGTCAACTGTATTTTCATGCATTTTGAAATATATTTCAAATAATTATGGAAGCAATTTTAATGCAGTTGATCAATCAAACATTTAATATTTATTGCCTTTTTGGGAGCAGAAATTTATGCTAACAATTATAAATTGTGTTAGATTGCTTTATTAATTTTAAAACACTCCAGACGTTGGGCCACGAAGACGGTTATGCAATTCAAACCAAAATTAAGTGACATTTTTGAGAGCAGTAGTATTTTTAAACACCCAAACTTGAAGGGAACTGGCAGTTTCGTTTTCACTTCAGACTTCAGACAGTTACTAGATACACTAGCAGCATAACAACATGATTAATTCAAATAGTAATTTCTGATAGGCAAATGTTTTCTTTTTAGTATGTTTTTCAGTTATTACAAATTCAACTTTAACATATCTACAATACATTACCATATATACATTTGGAAATAACTACTAACAAGCAAAACATGTCAAATTATGTGCAAACATTTAATCAGTAATGCCAAATAAAATCGTGAGGAACGGTTTAATATATTCATATTGTCAGGTAAGTTTAGGCAATTTAAATTTAACAATTATTTATATTTAAATTTTTTTATTTTTTTAATTCAAAAGCCAAATAATGTTTGAAATGAAGCAAATACGAGAGAAGGTGGTACAACAAAGCAATGTAAGAAAAAAGTTAGAAAAACAGATCGTTTAGTCCTTTTAGAGAATCCAAAAGTTAGCTTAACTGAATACTACTTTCAAAAGCAACAAATAAAAGCAAATCAAAAAAGAAAGCCTTTGTCCAACCTTTTGTTTGTCCAGAATCTTCATGGCGTAGTACTGATCTGTTCCTCTACGTCTAACCAGCATTACTCTTCCAAAGGAGCCAGTGCCCAGGGTTTTTATCCTCTCAAAGTCATCTAGAATAGTTGTGCTCTGTGGAGGTGAAAAACAGGCTTTGGATGGTTACAAAAGATCTATGTTATATGTTTTATTCAGTTTTGGCAAGATGACGATAAGTGTGATCGGTGATGTTAAGGACTTTATTCCAAAATGTACCTAGTCAATGCGCTAACTCCACCTTTCCTGTAAAGATACCTGATATAGTTTAATATAACAATAGTAATGTAGACAGCATACAAAATCTCTAACCTGTGGTGGACACTCCCATTTTCTTAAAAAATCTTCTTTGGCTTTCGCTAAGAACTCTTTCACTGGAAGGAAGGAAAGAAAGAAAGAAACAATTAAAAAGCAAACGTAAAATATTTAATTGTGATAATTGTATTTCTATATATAAAATGGATGTATGCAGATAATATTTACACATGGCACAAAGAAGTTTTACAGAAATATATTTTCTGTAGTCAGAGTGAAAACACATCAAGCAAATTTTATAAAGAGTGGCATTTGCACACTTCAACACTACAGAATTACAGAACTACACGATAACAGAAAGGATTGTACATCTGAGAGGCAAAACATGGATCTACACAGAAAACACAAGCAATGTTTAAACTGTCCATAGTCACAGATTTACCAAAAATCTACTATGCAGGAGAGAATTTTACTTGGACTGACAGGAATCTAAAAAAATCTAAAAAATGCAGACTTATAAAATGCTCTAAAGATGACAGTTTAACTGCACTCTAAGTGCAGAGCACTTTTTGCTAGGTGAGGGGTATTTCAGTGACTGTGGACAAGTACTGAACGGAAGAGCATACCAAAAGTCTCTACAGTTCACCAATGGTTTTCAGGAACATTCACCCACACGGATGGTAGGGGAAGGAAGAGGAGAGAGAAGAGAAGACAAGAAAGAGGAGAAAGATTGGTTTTACAAGACACCAGACACAAGCAGATCACACGATAAAGGCACAGAAAAAAACATGTCCTAGTTAGCACTAAACATATGCTCTGCAGAATTGTTCAATGACACAGTCACAATGATTGAAGATATATCTAAGAATAAGTAATTGATACTGGTTTTATTTTGTAACACCAGTGCATTGTTGCTAAAGTACAGTCTCCCTCCCTTTTCTGATATTCATAATATGGCTTCAGTCTCTCATCTATCTGCATGCAAGTTGCTAATGTGACCCTCTATCTGCATGCTAAGGTATGTGCTTGTGCCCAGTTCGCGCTCCCAGTGCTCCGCTGCACCTCCATACTATCCCTCCCCGTGCTGCTTAAAGTGAACATCTAGCTCACTTTCAGCCAAACGGCAATCAGAACTTTGCGTGATTTTTGCTTTTCACGCTTTTCAAATACTGCTGTGCATCCAAAAAGTACTGTAGTTAAAAGTGGGTGTGTTCTCATGCATCAGTGAAGCCAGGCTTATTTAACAGAACTACATGACAGATATTACAAAACAGAGAGATGGCTCCAAAGGAGAAGAGCGGAAACCCAGAAGCCAGACAGATAAACAGCACAGACATAAAAATGCAAACACGATACTAAAAAGTATGACAGCACATTTACAATGAAAGTGGGTGATTTGGAGAACATTAAAGCTACCATTTCATAAACCCGGTTAATAAAACTGTGGATGCAATACTCTATATAAGGTATATCAAATCACCAAAAAATAGGGGTGTAATGATGATGAAACGATTATTAAGGTGCTGACTGAACATATCGATCTGTAAAGTCAGAATCCATTGGGGTGACTGAACGTATCGATCTGTAAAGTCAGAATCCATTGGGGNTGGGCGTAATTTCCAGGGGGGTTAGGGGGGTCATGAAAATAATAATAGGTAAAATAAAGATACTCCTACTTCTGGGTTGCAGGTAAATGTACAAAGTAGCACGTGGATTTCCAAAATGTAGGAGGGCAGGCTCATTAATATTCATAAATTAAGCACTACAATGCATTTGGGAAATCCCTCTGTTTTGTAGCACAAAAAAGTAATTCTTTTTGCAATCTACGGTAGCAATATTCAAGACTATGAGATAACTGACTAGTTAGCTAAGTAAAAAGCAATGTTAGCCTTAGAGATGCTCAACATATTGGTTAGCACATCGGTATTGGCCAATATTCCTTAATAATCAAGATATCATCATTGATCTGACGTGTCGATCATGGCCAGTGTTGTTTATTGATATTTAAACTTAAATCGGTATTCAAAGTCAGCAGCACCAGAACTACAGACACAACTACTAAAATAAGGGAGACAGTCAGCCAATTTCAGAAGTTGAGGACAAAAATTTCATGGGCTTGTTTACCACTTAGAACACGTTGCAAGTACCAGCCTGTATTTAATTCATCATTTAATCTGGCCCGCGGATCAATCTTTCATTTCCGACAAAACCACTGCCCTCCTCCCCCAATCAGGTACCGCTTCCTTTAATGTGTTTCAATTTTTTCTTTACAGTTCAGTAGTTGGCCTTGTGCCAAGTTTACATGACCGTGTTCTTGTGTAATAATAACAATAATTTTAAAAAAATAAAAATAAAAAAAAATCAATGTTCTGAGATTCTTTGTATTCCATTAACAGTGTGGAATAAAGTTCCCACTGTAATATTTATGAATAGTGAAGTTAAAAAGAGGTTTTAATTTAACAGAATAATTGAATGATCATTTAATTGAATTAAATCATGACAGAAATGAAAGATTTCCAACCTATTGAATTGCTCCCTCAATAATCATAATCGATTGGTCTTGGGGCCAATGATTTACACAATGTCTGCCACTATCGATTAAATTAATAATTGAGCAATTTGCCAATTAATTTGACAATCAAGTAATCCTTTATGTATAATATATACATATAAGAAATAAAATTACATATTGCAATTGACGCGAGGCAGGAACCAACCCTGGATAGTGTGCCAGCCCATCGCAGGGTGCAGGGTGACTCACTCACACATACGGTCAATATAGGCACCCCAGTTCACATAAGATGCATGTTTTTGGACTGTGCACGGCTGCATTCGGGTTCTCATCGCTGAGGTGGTTCGTGCTTCTTACCTCTCTTTTTATGTTGTTAAAATGTTGCAGTATTCATCGGAAAAAATTCAAAGATTGCAATGTGAGCGTATTCTAGTAACGCTCAGCCATACTCAATACACACGACACGTTCACAGAAAAATTTATTATATTAATATTATATCGTAATTATATACCATATTATGTGTTATGTAAGAAGATGCCAGTAAGCGTCAGGACTAGCCTAGCTTTGTTTCAGTAGCGATTATCTTAAGATACTGGAATTGTAGAAAGTTTATAGTCATCTATGGCTAGCCTCACATTGTTGGGTGAGTAGCTTAAATCTGAAAGTCTTCTGAATATCTGCATTTTTTTTTTTTACTTTTAACACAACTGAGGCTTTTCCTATTCATTTTGAGTATTGTGTGCTATGTTGCATCTTTCTTTCACCATATTGCCAAGTGATTGGCAATATTTAATCGATGCTTTAAATTTATAATTTTTTTTAATCAAGCAATCGAGTTTAATCAAGTAATTGTAACAGCTAATTTACACAGGTCAGGTCAGGGAGCATGCACTGGGTACAGCGCGTTGCTGCACCCACCACACGATGAAACACATCAGGATCCCAGTTGGCGACCTCCAGGCCGACACATGGTCCAGTCGCACCCTTCAGAAATGGCGGTCTATCTGCCGCAGCCAGGTGTTACGTGGGTGTCCCCTTGGCCTGGTCAGGATGAGGATCCTATGAGCTGGATCACCCTCAGGGAATCACGCTATATTGGCTGTAGTGCTGTAACTGACACTCTCTCACAGTGCAAGTAATGTGCCTGATTTGAGATTCCCTGAGCTACCACTCATTCAACACAAAGTCAAACCCACAGAACCCAAGACACGGTACCAGAGTCTCAGGTCACTGGATAGCGTCTATGTCTCGCAGCCACACAGCAAAACAGGGAGCACCAGAACTCAAAAGACTTGGACCTTTGTCCTCTTGCAAAGATATTGGGAGTGCCACACACCGCTTTCCAGCGACCTCATGACCCCCCATGCTCTCCCAATCCTTCTACTGACTTCATAGAAAGAGTCAGTGCCAAGGTAAGTGAACCTCTCGGCTGTGCTCATGAGGTCATTAAAGGCCTGGATCTTGGTTTTGACCCAGGACACTCACAAACCCAGACTCTTTGCTCAGTCTTCCGAGAGCCCTGATCAGAGCGTCCATTGACTCTGCGACGATCACAGCATCGTTGGTAAATCTTTCCTCACCAACAGATGCCTCGCAGCTGCTGGACCCCAAGGCTGCCTAACACCCAATCCATGCAAGCAACAGAGCAGAAGCAAGAACACACCCCTGACGAACCCCAGAATTGACTGTGAAGAATGCAGAGGTTCTGCCTCCACTCTGCACAGCACTCACAATACCAGTGTACAGGCTGACCATGACATCCAGCAAATTCAGAGAGATACCAGAAAGTTTCAGGACGTCCCACAGGGCACGCTTTATGAAAATCCACAAAGGCTGCAAAGGAACCAATATTCCGTTAAGAACACTCAATGCCAGGATGCAGTCAATGGTAAACTTCTTAGGTGTAAAACCAGACTGCTCCAGTCATTAGTAGGCGAGCAAGTGATCATAGATCCTGCTGAGGATGACCCTAGCAAGGACCTTTCTGGCATTGAGAGCAGTGTTATCCCCTTGTAGTTTCCGTAATCCAGGCGATCACTCTTCCTTTTCCTGCTAGGGACAAGTAGTCCCATTTTTCAGTCAGTTGGGATGACGTCTGTCTCCCAGATGGAAGCAAGGATTGCTTGCAATGCCAAGAGGACAGCCTTACCACCAGTCTGGAGAAGTTCACCCTGGATATCACAGATCCATGTGACTTTCCCTACCCCTAGCCGGTTCACCACCTGTGCAACCTCAGTGAGATTGGGTGGTTCACAGTGGAGGATCAGGCTCAAAAACTGTGGACCCAGAGATGTCCAAAGTTGCCATCAAGCCAAGTGCTGACACTCCTTTCAATAATATCCAGGGTGCCCTGCAAGATGAAGCACCTCCTTTGGAAACACTGGCAACACCAACACAACCCTCAGCAACCTTCAGGGTCTTGTCACAGAAGGTCTCCCACATCACATTAGAATCAGCAGTTGCACCCAAGTCTGCCAGTTCCTCACACAAACTGCGTGCAGACTCATTAGAAACAGCCTGCTCTTGGAGTCTGGCCAGGTCCAGCCTCATTCTCCTAGAAGGTATACTGGACCTATGCTGAATCTTCAGAGTAGCAACAATAAGTCTGTGGTAAGAATTCACAAATTCTTCTGTAGACCCTGCAGTTCTGCAGAAGCCTCCATTGTCTGCCCACAAGGATGTGATCGATCTCCTTCACTGCACCACCAGTACCAAGTCCAGCGATGTGGCTCAGTTTGCAGGAACCAGGAACCAGGATCCAGTGACCCACAGACCCTGACCTTTTGCAAAGTCAAGGAACATGGATCCACTTTCTCCAGTCACCAGACCCATGGGGACTGAAAAAATTCTCATAGCTAGCCCTGTCAGTGCCAGTGATCACATTGAAGTCACCCAAAGTCAAAGGAGTGTCACCTCATGGGCATCCATCAACCGCCAAGTGAATAAAAATGTCTCCCTCCCCGAGATAGCACTCACTGCGGTCAGAACATACATTGAGAGAACAGACAAGACACTCATTAAGTCACTTTATGAAGCAAGCTTTCAAACACTTCCCTAAACTTCCATAGCGTGTGTGACATAGAGCACTGCATTGCACCCTGAGATCTTCCATAGCGTGTGTG